CTTATGTATATATTATTTCGTTCTACGTGTATTTTGATATCAAAATATATATATATATATATATATATATATATATATGAAACCAAGAGGGCTGCATTCACTGAACATGCAACTCCTTGGTTTTGCACCCCTCCCTGTTACAGGTGCCTCATTCTAGGACCCTGTTTAGCCTTGACTTGCAGAGAGTCCCAGTAAGGAAGTATTTCCCAAGTAAGTGGATTAATCTCATAAGAGCAAGCATTAGGCTGCTACTAGGATAGGACCTTCCGAATATGGGGTACTTTGACGTAGTTGGCAGGCTTATGCAATGTATGATCATATAATGTAACTAAATACCCCATCATATTTTGCCTAGGTGAGGTGTTTTTAAATAAAACTATTACAATCTCTAAGATTTGAAATCATTGTTTAGTGAATAAGCAAAATAAGGGGACTGGGGGACTGGGCACTCAAATGGCAGATGAAATTTAATGTTGAAAAATGCAAAGTTATGCACTTCGGCATAAAGAATACACAAGCAACGTATACCCTTAATGGAAGCGAATTAGGGATAACAACACATGAAAAGGACTTGGGAATTGTTATAGACAACAAGCTATGCAACAATGTGCAATGTCAATCAGCAGTGGCCAAGGCCAGTAAGGTATTGTCATGCATGAAAAAGGGCATTCATTCTCGGGACAAGAATATAATTTTGCCTCTTTATAAGTCACTGGTAAGACCCCATATTGAATATGCTGTGCAATTTTGGGCACCTGTTCTAAAGAAGGATATTATGGCACTAGAAAAAGTGCAGAGGCGGGCTACAAAATTACTAAAAGGAATGGAACATATCGGCTATGAAGAAAGGTTAACAAATTTAAACCTATTTAGTTTAGAAAAACGTCGCCTGAGAGGGGATATGATAACATTATACAAATATATTCGGGGCCAATACAAACCATTGTGTGGAAATCTATTCACAAACCGGACTTTACATAGGACACGAGGCCATGAGTTTAGACTGGAAGAAAGAAGATTTCGTCTAAGGCAAAGGAAAGGTTTTTTTACTGTAAAAACAATCAGGATGTGGAATTCTCTGCCTGAGGAAGTGGTTTTATCAGAGTCCATACAGATGTTCAAACGGCTACTAGATGCATACTTGCAAGAACAGAATATTCAAGGATATAATCTTCAATGTAGGGTAATAACTGCTTGATCCAAGGATAAATCTGACTGCCATTCTGGGGTCAAGAAGGAATTTTTTTCCTAGCTTGTTGCAAAATTGTGCTTCAAACTGGGTTTTTTTTGCCTTCTTTTGGATCAACAGCAAAAAACAAATGTGAGGTAGGCTGAACTTGATGGACGCAAGTCTCTTTTCAGCTATGTAACTATGTAACTATGTAACTATGTAACTATGTAAGCGAGTGCGCTGGATTCTGTATTTTGTATATTTTGGCCCCAGCAGCACCAGAAATAAAGCACACTTTGCTCCTCCGCTGGTCAGGCATAGGAAACTGCCGTAAGACAAATAGTCCCTACTCTGTCTTATGATTTTAAAGAAAACTAGAGCAGACAGGAAGAAATGAAGAACGGATCCTGACAGAGGAAGAGGAATCGATTGGAGAAAGGTGCTGCTTTAAGAGGTAGAGTAAGATATTTACATACAGGGATGTATAATCTAGTGTTGAGTAGACAAACACATTTAGTCCTACTGAAGTTTAAAATTGATTATAAGTCTATCAACAGAACAATGTGGGTTTCTGGGCACTATAGTGCCCCTATGTAAAAGGGACAATCCATATTTGGAGCCCTCATCCCCATGTCCATCTTTTCTATCATAATGTCCCTATTCTCAAAGAGTTTCATATTGTTGGTGTGCCTGAATGTGTTACACATAAATAACAAACACAGTTATATGTGCCACTGCTATAACAATAGTTAAAGGTTTTTAAACTACAGTAAGTGTGTTTAGAAATTGGTCAGTGTAAATATGACACCTTATTATTAGTAAGTGACCTACATTTTTACAGAACAGACATGCCCCATTCCACCTCCCTGAAATGAAAGTATTTCTCTGTGTCCATTTGAAGTGTTGTGAAATATAACGTTGTATTAGTAACTTTTTCATGTGGCAGAATTTCATAAAACATGCATATGATCAAAACTAGATAGTGAGAAACACAATGATTGTAAAAATGTAAAACATATGTATCTAATGCAAGAAAGAGAAGAGTTAAAAAGGGGGGGAAGAGGAGTACGAGAATGGACAGTGTACAGCAACAGAAATTGTGAGCTGTAGTAGTTATGGTGCTTGAAGTGTTCCTTTAAATAATGGAATATTAAAGTATACAACAGTAGAAAGCATATATACATGTAAAACGAATATTAGACTGACACATTTTCATAAGTGTATTGAAAAAATGCATATTTAATTGAACTAAACATAATTTAGTTAACTGATCTCTGCAACCCTTTTGTAGTTTGATGTGATAATACCTACACGTTATTTACTGACATTACAGAGCTAATAAGATATTTTAACAGTGATGCCTAATCGCATATTTGTAAACTGAATTGCTAAGTTTCACTGTGTTTAATTGTAACTGAAAAAAACTACTACACTTTTTTGATTAATTAAATTTAAATTAACTTGATTAAACTATGCACTATATTCACATAGATTAACCTGATCCACTATTCAGAAAGTGTTGCTGTCTAATTACATCTACTCATATTGGTGCGTTAGTATTTACTCTCACAGCACAAACTGTAATGTGAATTATTCAAATCTCTTGCTCCTACTAACGATAGGAGATTTCTTACGTTTAGGGCCAGATGGTTTAAACTGTTGCTAAAAGGTTTTCAAGTACATAATGAATAAGTGATTTAATAAACACATTGGTTCAATTATTATTTGCATTTTACTATTTGTATTTGTATCTACTGGTCATACTAAATGCTAATGAAAAATGAAGAAATTAAGTGAATAAAATGTGCTGTAAGGGGACAAATATCTACAGTAGAATATAGTTGTTGGAATAAAAGAGCAGGAATTCCAATGAATATTTAGTGGTAATACAATTTAAAATGATGCCCAGGGTACCAATCTAGAGTACATCGAAAGATGCTTTTCAGATGCTGATTGTCTGAAACATTACCTTATTTCCATTAAAAGGAAATTATATATATATATATATATATATATATATATATATATATATATATATATATATATATATATATATATATATATATATATATATATATATATTCATTCATTTATTCATTGATTTATTTTGGAAAAAATTTTCAATGCACATCTTTTTCTTAATTCCTTTGTGAAACCTACCCCCTGTTATGTTAGAAAATGATCTATATAATCCTTTATTACCTTGCTTGTTTTCAGCACTGAGACTCAGTTCTCACCTTCTGCTCTTTCTCCCATCTCATCATCTTGCGTGCTGACTCTTCTTCAGGTTCACGCCCATTGTGGGTAAGAAGCAAGTGTCGAGGTTCTCCAATTAAATGTTTTTTTATAGAGAAACAATGATTCCATTGCATTGAAATCAAACGTCAAAGAAGTGTGTCAGGGACACAGCCACTAGAGGTTTCTTTCAGTATCTCCATTTTACAATGCCTTATTACAATGGCAGGAGCACTGCATCCAGGCCACTTCATTTTGATGATGTGGTCTGGTTGTCTCTAGTTTCCCTTCAAACAAAGTGGTGACTTTGTCAAGATAAATGATCTTTAATCAGGCTTTAGTATTATGTGAATCTTGGTTAAAATACAGTACTACATAGACCAGGGAGGTATACTGTCAATTAAACTATAAAATATGAAAAACTGTCTTACCTAATGTGATTTTGAAGACGCTAGGCATGAACAATATATAACACAGAACCCAGAATGCATGCCAAAAAAAGTGCTCATTGCTAACAGTAGAAAATAATCAATTTAGTCCTAAATTTGAACAGATGCACATTGGGACAACAAAGAATTAAATGTATGGTCAATTTTGGACTTTAAATTGTAGACATAATTTCACATTAATAGAAAGAGTACAAAATAGCCAACCCACAGTGGAAAACAGTTGAACCCCTTCCAATCAAAATCAGACATTCATAAGTTATTGATATTATTGATATGATATTAACGATACCGAACCCATATTATGTGGAGCAATGAATTCGAGTTTTTTTCTGTGCTAAACTACATGAAGTTATGATGTTCGACAGGCTTGGATTTTTTTATTTGGCATTTTTTGGGGCTGAAAAAGAAGATTTAAAAAAAGAAGACAACTAATGGTAAGTGTTCATTTTTTAAAATGTCAGGTATTTAGTTTATAGCTCACTAATATTAGGATGAGGGGTCTAGATAGGATTTGGGCACCCCTAGTCACAGGTGGTGTCTTTATTTCAACAATTAGCCCCACCCATCACCAGTGGGTGGGGTCTGGGGGGACACTTAATGCCGACACCCACCACCAATGCGTGTGGGTCAGGGATCCACCCCTTATCACATAAGGCCCCCTCCTACCATCAGGAGGTAAAGAATGGGGATGAGACAGTAGGTTACTCCCTTGTCACTTAGGCCCCTACCCACTGTCAATGGTGGGGGCTGGGGAAGAAAAAGGTTCCCCCCTTGTCACTCAGGGTCCCCACCCACCGCCAATGGGTTGTAGCTGGGGGGAGACAGTATGTTTACCCACCTTATCACTTAGTTCCCTTACCTGCTGCTAGGGGTGGGGGTGGAGGCCAGGGGCAATAGGTCCCTCTTTATCACATAGGCCCCCACCTGCAGCTAATGGGCGTGGGCGGGGAGGGAGATAACAATTTCCCTCTATTACTTAGGGACAGCTGGGGTGTGTCTACCTATAAATATTGAGGGTCCCCACCCACTGCTAATGGGTGGGGACTGGGAGGGGAGACACACAGTAGGTCCTCCCCCATTGTTCGCCACAAACAGTTCGCCACGGACTCATCATTGAGTAAACTTTGACCCTGTACGTCACATTCAGCAGACACATTCCAGCCAATCAGCAGCAGACCCTCTCTCCCAGACCCTCCCACCTGCTGGACAACTCACTAAGAATGCAGCTTCACAATGAATGTAAAATGGATGCTGTCCAGGAGGTGGGAGGGTCTGAGAGGGAGGGTCTGCTGCTGATTGGCTGGAATGTGTCTGCTGACTGTGAGGTACAGGGTCAAAGTTTACTCAATGATGAGTCCGCGGCAAACCGTTCATGGCGAACCGTTCGGCGAACCGTTCGGGACATCACTAATTATATATCTTGTATGGATATTAAAGGAGCACTATAGGGTCAGGAACACAAACATGTATTCATGACCCTATAGTGTTTAAATCACCATCTAGTCCCCCAGGTCCCCTCTTGCTTCCCTAAATGTAGTAAAATCTTACTTGTATTTAACTCTACAGCTCCTGGCTCTGCTCCTGTTTGCCTGTTTGTCTGCTGACATCATCAAAAGTGGTGGTTTGAGCCAATCATAATGTTTCCCCATAGAATTGGTTGAGATTGTCAAGGAGGCAGATTAGGGGCAGAGCCAGCACAAGTCAAACACAGCCCTGGCCAATCAGCATCTCCACATAGAGATGAATTGGATCAATGCATCTCTGTGAGGAAAGTTCAGTGTCTGCATGCAGAGGGTGGAGACACTGAATGGCAGTGCTGCTTAATCTGCAGAACTTCCCAAGGAAGATACTCTAGTAGCAATCTGAGGAGTGACCAGTGAAGTTATCATTGACTGTAATATAAACACTTCATTTTCTCTGAAAAGGCAGTGTTTACAGCAAAATGTTTGAAGGGATTGATTTTATTCATCTCAACAAATGCAGTAAGCTGTAGTTGTTCTGGTGACTATAGTGTCCCTTGAATTTAAGTAGATATATGAAGATTAAGTCAATCGTCAAAAATAAAATATTTTTTTCTTTCCATAAGGAAATTCAAACTTTTAAACAACCAGAAAGCAATAGAAAAATACTTATCTCTTTATGATTCCTTGACTGATAGTATGTTCAACCTGTTTTAAATGTCATTCTTTAATTTGATTCTTTAAATATCTGCACTTAAAAGCAGTTTGGCATTTCACAAATTTAGAAAATTCTTAAAGCGGCACTGTCATGCCGAACTTACCTTTCCTCAATCTCTTCCTCTTCTCCCCCTCTCTCAGGATCTGTTCTTCTTTTCTTCCTATATTCTTTAGTTTTCTTTAAAATCATAAGATAAAGTAGGGACTCTTTGACTTATGGAGGATTCCTCCGCTTGACCAGCTTTGACCAGCGGAGGAGCAAAGTGTGCTTCATTTCCGCTGGTCAGAGCAATTTTCCCATAATTCTTACCTTTCCTCTTTGATCTTGCGATGCTTCCTGTCATTTTAGACGAAACTGCCGAATTGCGTTCTAACTGAATGAGAACAGTATGTTTGTTTCTTTTAGAACTCAATTCGGCACTTTGTTCATATCTGTATTTCATTTGAATGAATGAAACTCCGATTCAATTTGTGCCGCAGCTGCATCTTGCAGCCGTTTAGTAGATAACTCCCTAATTCCCACGGTATTAGGGAACTATCTACTAAAAGGCTGAAAGACCTAATTTGGTCTTTGAGCCAAATTTACTAATACTAAGTAAAGATTACTTAGTATTAGTAAATTCAGCCCCTACTTGCTATACCGGGAGTAGGGGCATGTCTAGTAAACAGTGAGCAGCCAGTGGAGGGTGGGGGCCGGGGGGGAGGACAGTAGGTCCCTGCCCCTCATTATCTTTATGACCCCCACCCACCCCTCAATGGTGGGGGGCCGGGGGGAGGACAGTAGGTCCTCCCCCATTGTAATTTATGGCCCCCACCCACTGCGCAGTGGTGGGGGCTAGGAGGGAGGACAATAGGTCCCGCCCTTATTGTTATTTAGGTTAGTTACTGTTTAGTATACATGCCCCTACTCGCGGTATAGCGAGTAGGGGCATTCGGGAGATTTTAATCAGATCATATTGACCCCCATAGAGTGAGGGAGGGGGGCTTAGGAAGTGGCGGGGAAGTGGCAAAAGTAGCTCCACATTACAAGGAGGGAGCTACCGGCACGCAGCTCCCTCCTTGTAATAAACTAAAGGAACGAACAAACGAACACTGATACACAGTGTTTGTTTGTTCGTCTGACAATGCTATTCATCCATTTGTCTTTCTGATGAATGAATAGATGAGATTCCCATTCGCATGTCCAAGTGTTTAACTGGGCATGTGCGGGAATCTAACAGTCCTATCTAGTGTGGGCAGATGATGTGTCCCACAGGGACTTCCTCTACCCACACAAAGATGGCGGCGCCCTGAATATAGATCGGGGCAGAAAATAAAGAATAAAAATAGGTAATATGGGGGGCTTAGGGGTATTTGGGGGTGACTAGGGGGTCAATTAGATGTAGTGGAGTCGGCAGGGGGGTTAAAAAAAAAAATGGGATTCAGCCATGACAGTGCTGCTTTAAATATTATGTTTGATTGCCAAGCTGATATAACTTCTGTTGAATGAAGCCTGAAATACAGTTGAATTATGTAATTTAAAAAAAAAAAATCTATAAAATGTTGAATGTAGTTTTGACATTCACCTTATCACACAATGTGATGCAGTCATATCCCACACCCTGTTAGAAAATCTCAGACTTGGGCTGGAACATCTAACAGCAAAACTAAAAGGTCATATACCTACAATGAAGTGTATTATCAGTTACATTATACGGGGAGTGCAGAATTATTAGGCAAGTTGTATTTTTGAGGATTAATTTTATTATTGAACAACAACCATGTTCTCAATGAACCCAAAAAACTCATTAATATCAAAGCTGAATATTTTTGGAAGTAGTTTTTAGTTTGTTTTTAGTTTTAGCTATGTTAGGGGGATATCTGTGTGTGCAGGTGACTATTACTGTGCATAATTATTAGGCAACTTAACAAAAAACAAATATATACCCATTTCAATTATTTATTATTACCAATGAAACCAATATAACATCTCAACATTCACAAATATACATTTCTGACATTCAAAAACAAAACAAAAACAAATCAGTGACCAAATAGCCACCTTTCTTTGCAAGGACACTCAAAAGCCTGCCATCCATGGATTCTGTCAGTGTTTTGATCTGTTCACCATCAACATTGCGTGCAGCAGCAACCACATCCTCCCAGACACTGTTCAGAGAGGTGTACTGTTTTCCCTCCTTGTAAATCTCACATTTGATGATGGACCACAGGTTCTCAATGGGGTTCAGATCAGGTGAACAAGGAGGCCATGTCATTAGATTTTCTTCTTTTATACCCTTTCTTGCCAGCCACGCTGTGGAGTACTTGGACGCGTGTGATGGAGCATTGTCCTGCATGAAAATCATGTTTTTCTTGAAGGATGCAGACTTCTTCCTGTACCACTGCTTGAAGAAGGTGTCTTCCAGGAACTGGCAGTAGGACTGGGAGTTGAGCTTGACTCCATCCTCAACCCGAAAAGGCCCCACAAGCTCATCTTTGATGATACCAGCCCAAACCAGTACTCCACCTCCACCTTGCTGGCGTCTGAGTCGGACTGGAGCTCTCTGCCCTTTACCAATCCAGCCACGGGCCCATCCATCTGGCCCATCAAGACTCACTCTCATTTCATCAGTCCATAAAACCTTAGAAAAATCAGTCTTGAGATATTTCTTGGCCCAGTCTTGACGTTTCAGCTTGTGTGTCTTGTTCAGTGGTGGTCGTCTTTCAGCCTTTCTTACCTTGGCCATGTCTCTGAGTATTGCACACCTTGTGCTTTTGGGCACTCCAGTGATGTTGCAGCTCTGACATATGGCCAAACTGGTGGCAAGTGGCATCGTGGCAGCTGCACGCTTGACTTTTCTCAGTTCATGGGCAGTTATTTTGCGCCTTGGTTTTTCCACACGCTTCTTGCGACCCTGTTGACTATTTTGAATGAAACGCTTGATTGTTCGATGATCACGCTTCAGAAGCTTTGCAATTTTAAGAGTGCTGCATCCCTCTGCAAGATATCTCACTATTTTTGACTTTTCTGAGCCTGTCAAGTCCTTCTTTTGACCCATTTTGCCAAAGGAAAGGAAGTTGCCTAATAATTATGCACACCTGATATAGGGTGTTGATGTCATTAGACCACACCCCTTCTCATTACAGAGATGCACATCACCTAATATGCTTAATTGGTAGTAGGCTTTCGAGCCTATACAGCTTGGAGTAAGACAACATGCATAAAGAGGATGATGTGGTCAAAATACTCATTTGCCTAATAATTCTGCACTCCCTGTATGTTTACTTCACTGCTTTTAAATTTCACAAACAAACAATACATAATCTGTGTAATAATAAAAAGGAAAAGCATGCACACTTTTCATCACATTTAAATCAGATTTTCCCAACATTCATGGAGATTTTAAAAGAAATTAACCACTTCACTACAAACAGAAGTCAGACTTACACCATACTATGTATATTTATTATTTACATTGAGGCACCAAAATAAAATCAGACAATAATTATGAATTGTTCATGTTCACTAGAAGTGACGCTTCTGCTATTGTTCTAATGGAATTTTAGATGCTATGTGATATTACCAGTTACTGCTAACTGGCCTAAGTATATTTTTAATCTTTTGTGGTACAGAGAGCGTCAAGAAAAATGTATGCTGTAACATTTTATTAAATATTCAATGATTTATTCATCAAATGAGATGATGATGATATTTTCAAAGTACTATGAACATATTTTATTTTATGTTTTGCTTTCACTGTCCCAGTGGTACTCTTACATGAATGTAGCATTAATTGAGAAATGTCCATTTTGTCTCAAGCAAGATAGAATTCCCAAACCCACCAAAAAAGTATTATTAACTAGTGCTTCTTAATGCTTATCGACAATCCAATCACAGTAAAGTGGAGGGTCAACCAGTGACCAAGCCTGTCACATGGCTATACTGGTGTATCCACTTTACAAAGGAAATGGGTTTTATTTGAAACATTTAATACTGGGATGGTAAGAGAGAATCAGTATTTTGGACATGGAGCTCAGGTACCTCCTTTCCGTGAGGAAAGGATTTAAGACAATAAAGGACCAAGTACTGGGCATCCTGCTGCTCCTGTAGTATGTGGCCTCAAAAGTTTGGGCACCCCTTGTGACGGTAGTATACTATAT